AAAAAAAAAAAAAAAAAAGTAAGTTCTAAAAATTCTAAAGCTCCAAGAAAATCATATACCAAGCCCTTTGGACCTAAATTAAAACAAGCCTTTCAAACTTGGGAGTACATCTGCGCAGTTTGTTAAAATGTCAACCACGAGGTATGCAGCAGCAGTAATCTTCAACTTTAACAAGTAACCTAGATGGCTCGGCACCTGTAGCTCAAGCAGCTAAGGCACCAGCCACATATACCAGAGCTTGAATGGCGGGTTCGAATCCAGTCTGGGCCTGCCAAATAATGACAACTACAACCAAAAAAAAATAGCTGAACGTTGTGGCAGGCTCCCAGCTACTTGGGAAGCTGAGGCAGGAGAATCATTTAAGCCCAGGAGTTGGAGGTTGCAGTGAGCTGTGATGCCACAGCACTCTACCCAGGGCGACAGCTTGAGGCTCTGTCTCAAAAACAAAAAAGTAACCCAGATAATTTTAATGCAGTTAGTCAGTGACTAATCCTCTGAGAAACACAAGAGAATTTTTAGAGGTGATGGATATGTTCAGTACCTTGATTGTGGTGCTGGTATCACAGATGTATGGTTACGTCCAAACTCATGTATGCATTAAGTGTGTACAACTATTTGTATATCAACTATACTTAAAGCTTTAAAAAGCCCTATTCTAAAAGATGAAGGCCACCTGTTTAATGATACCATCCTTAACAGAAAAGCAGAAAGAACTCAATGAACCTGAACTCTACACTAGGTTCCAGTCATCCTCAGACCAATCTCACTGACCTTGGCTGCCAAGGGTAGACGCAGCTGTATGGTAAGTTTCACAGTCCACACAAAATGTTCCTTGTTTTTCTGCCCCAAGTATCTCCAATTTCCGAGTGAGGAGCTCCACAGTCTGCTGGACACTCTTGCCCTCGGCCACAGGCATCTGCGACACGCTGGAAATAAGAGCACCAAATTATCAATATCCAGAGACATGTGCATTAAGTCACGAACTCACAGAATCACATCAGGGCAGAAGTTATCCTTTTTTTTTTTTTTTTTTAAGAGACAAAGTTTTACTTTGTCGCCCTCACACAGCTCACAGCAACCTCCAACTCCTGGGCTTAGGCAATTCTCTTGCCTCAGCCTCCCGAGTAGCTGGGACTACAGGCACCCACCACAGCGCCCAGCTCTTTTTTGTTGCAGTTTCACTGGGGCAGGGTTTGAACCCACCACCCTCGGTATATGGGGCCAGTGCCCTACTCCCTGAGCCACAGGCACCGCCCAGCAGAAGTTATCCTAGAGAACACTTGCCCTGACCTCCTCCTCCCCAACTCTTTTTTTTTTTCAGAGACAGTCTCACTTTACCCCCCTTGGTAGAGTGCTGTTGCATCACAGCTCACAGCAACCTCCAGCTCCTGGGCTTAGGTGATTCTCTTGCCTCAGCCTCCCAAGTAGCTGGGACTACAGGCACCTGCCACAACACCTGGCTATTTTTTTGTTGCAGTTTGGACAGGGCCAGGTTTGAACCTGCCACCCTCGGTATATGGGGCCAGCGCCTTACTCACTGAGCCACAGGCGCTGCCCTTATTTTGGTTGTTTGTTTTGTTTTTTGAGATAGAGTGTCCCTATATCGCCCTCAGTAGAGTGCCGTGGCATCACAGTGCACAGCAACCTCACACTCTTGGACTTAAATGATTCTCCTGCCTCAGCCTCCCAAGCAGCTGGGACTACAGGTGCCCACCACAACACCAGGCTATTTTTTTGGTTGTAGTTGTCATTGTTGTTTAGCAGGCCCGGACCAGGTTCAAACCCGCCAGCCCAGGTGTATGTGGCCAGCGCCCTAACCACTGTGCTATGGGCGCCAAGCCCCCAACTCCATTTTAAAGAGGAAGAAATAGAGACCCACAGTCTCTGAGAGCTTTTCTAAAACTAGAACATAGGTCTTAGGAAACTCATGCCAGGGCAATGAACTTCCTGTCATGCCAGCATTTCCCAAGGGTGGCATGTATGCCAAAATGTTCATGTAAAGATTCCAAGTGGCACACAGACGGAGCATTCAATAACTCTGTGTCATACATCAAGAAAGGAATTCCTGGGTGGCGCCTGTGGCTCAAGGAGTAGGGCGCCAGCCCCATATGCCAGAGGTGGTGGGTTCAAACGTAGCCCTGGCCAAAAACTGCAACAACAACAACAACAAAAAAAAAAAGAAAGAAAGAAAGAAAGAAAGAAAGAAAGAAAGAAAGAAAGGAATTCCTTCTGCAATTCTTTCAGGTCTGACTATACTAGGTTAGTATGGTTTTACCAACTCTTTGAACTTGAACTGCCCAATATAGTAGCCCAAAGCCACATCCAAAAGCCCTAGGAACAAAGAGAAACTAGACCTCAAATTTATAATCTTGGAAGTGAAAGGCAACTGGTATTTAAGTAATTTTTTTTAGGCCGGGCCCAGTGACTCATGCCTATACTCATAGCACTGTGGGAGGCTGAGGTGGATAGAGTGCCTGAGCTCAAGAGTTCAAGACCAACCTGAGCAAGAGTGAGACCCCATCTCTAAAAAATAGCCAGGCAGATCCCTGCAGTCCCAGCTACTTGAGAGGCTGAGGCAAGAGGATCACTTGAGCTCAAGAGATTGAGGCTGCTGTGAGCTATGATAATGCCACGGCACTCTACCTAGGGAGACAGAGTGACAAATCAGTCTTAAAAAAAAAAAAAATTAGACGATGCCCGTAGCTCAGTGGGTAGGGCACCAGCCACATACACTGAGGCTGGTGGGTTCAAATCTGCCCAGGCCAGCTAAAATCCCAACTGCAACAACAACAACAACAACAAAAATATCTGGGTGTTGTGGCGGGTGCCTGTAGTCCCAGCTACTTGGGAGGCTGAGGCAAGAGATCGCTTAAGCCCAAGAGTTTGAGGTTGCTGTGAGCTGTGATGCCATGGCACTCTACCAAGGCTGACACAGTGAGACTGTCTCAAAAAAAAAAACCAAATAGTACAGGTGGTACTAAGCTATACAAGAATCATGAACACAAGCACAGATGATTAATTTTTGGATGACTGCATTATTTTATGATCTACTAAATGAATGTATGAGTCTCAGTGTAACTAAAATTGTTACTACTTTCAAAAAAGCACTGATGGCCAATGCTGATGTTGTGCATTATTTTGAAATATAAGACAATCCCTAATTCAGCCAGGCATGGTGATCACACCTGTAATCCTAGCACTCTGGGAAGCCAAAGCGGGTGGACTGCCTGAGCTCACGGGTTCAAGACTAGCCTGAGCAAGAGCAAGAGCCCATCTCTAAAAATAACCAGATGTAGTGGCAGGCACCTGTAGTCTCAACTACTTGGGAGGCTGAGACAAGAGAATCACTTGAGCCCAGGAGTTTAAGGTTGCTGTGAGCTATTACACCACAGCACTCTACCCAGAGCGACAAAGTGAGACTGTGTCAAAAAGAAAAAAAAGAGAATCCCTAAATTGATGCTACAAGGGAAAGAAGTCCTAGGATTCTGAAAAAGTTGATAAGAGTGTCAATGGAGAGTCCTTTTCCTCAGGCTGCCTTCTCCACTGAAAGAGTAAAGAATCCCAGAGTGGCCATGTGCAGGGGCTCACCCCTGTAATCCTAGCACTCTGAGAGGCTGAGGCAAGTGGACTGCCTGAGCTCAGGAGTTCAAGACCAGCCTTAGCAAGAGTGAGACCCCGTCTCTACTAAAAACATAAAGACTAACAGGGTATGGTGGCACATACCTGTAGTTCCAGCTACCTGGGAGGCTGAGGCAGAAGGATCAGTTGACCCCAGGAAGGAGTTTGAGGTTGCTGTGACTATGAGGGCCACTGCACTCTAGCCTGGGGCAACAGAGTGAGACACCATTTCAAAAACAAAAAGGGCAGCGCTCATGGCTCAGTGAGTAGGGCGCTGGTCCCATATTCCTAGGTTGGTGGGTTCAAACCCAGCCCTGGCCAAACTGAAAACTGTAACAAAAAAAAATAGCCGGGTATTGTGGCAGGTGCCTGTAGTCCCAGCTACTTGGGAGGCTGAGGCAAGAGAATCACCTAAGCCCAAGAACTGGAGGTTGCTGTGAGCTGTAATGCCACAGCACTCTACCAAGGGTGACAAAGTGAGACTCTGCCTCTTAAAAAAAAAAAAAAAAAAAGACTCCCAGAGTTCCAAGCCTCTGTGCTGCAACCTTTCCACTTCCATTCATCACACATTCCTCTTACACTAGAGGACTCAGAAAAGGATCACGATGTCAACTGTGAGAAGTAAGAGTGCAATTACTGAGAAACCTGCAAGAGCTTGGACTACCAGGAAAAGTATTTCCCCCACACAGGCTTTTACATGAAAAGCCAAAAAATAAAAAGAGTCCTGAGACCCACTATCTTGGAACTAACACCTCCAAGAGCACTCTGGGAGGCCTATATCTTTTCCCAACACTTCACTTTCCAATCATGTATTTAAACATAGTAGAAAACAAGTCCTGAAGAGGTACAGTGCCTGGAACCACAATATCCTAACTCCTAATAGCCTCACTTTTACTTTCAGAGCCAAGATGTTTAAATGGGCAAATAAGAACCAAATACAGGCTTGTCTAACTACATTTGGTGGTTGAGGAAGAGATGAAAATCGAAAAAAAAAAAAAAAAAACCAACACTGTTACCCACCCTCTCCGGGTCTGTTGTCTTAGTCCAGAAATCCTATTTTTGATCCTGAAATCCCACTCCTGGCTGTACTGTGGGCTCACCGGAAGGTGGATGAACCCCCCCAAAAGAAAGAAAGTAGGTACACAACCACAGATAGGTTCAGGTGATAAAACCTCTGCCCTCCAGGAGAAAGGGGCTCATCGCTGAACAGGCCCACCCACTGTCCCCTTATTCACACAACCTGAGGACGTTTTGCTCCCGGGGGACAGCGGACCTTGGTCCCAGTCCTTCTCCCGGAGGGCTCCGAGGGCCCGTCACAACCCCAAGCTACGTCACCCCTAAATCCCTGCAATCCTACCAAGTCACTCCCATGGCGTCCGGCCAGAGGGTGGCAAGGCAAAACAGTCGAAATCCAAGGTTCTCTGTCTGCCCACATTAACCGAAGCCCCTAACGCGACCTCCGTGTACAGCAGGAGTTCCGGAAATACGTAAAAACAGAGCGCCGGTGGACGCTCCTACAGAGAACTGGGGCGTGTCTGGGCATCCTGTCGGTGACGCCTCAGTGACGTCAGCACACCGTCCCCCGCTGTCAGGTTGCAGCTTTGGGAATTAGCCTTTGGGTCGGCCCTTAGGCCTAGTTTCATAAAGCTAGCAAACCGAGGCCCACGCTGCCACCATTTAGAGAAGCCAGCATTAAAGACAATGAATTTATTCGGGTGTCCAACTCAGGAACCCTTTTAGAGCTCTTTTAGTGGGTGGGGCTGTGCTGGCGGCACTTCTGACCTCCAACCGGAAGGGGGCATTATCATCGGTGCGTAACCTCCGGAGAGATGGAAGGAAGTACTCCACGCAGGCGCACTCTGGCCATTCCTCCGTCCCCCACGTGGGACTCTTTCTGTCAATTTTTCCCAGAAAAATGCCTAAATTCAAGACTGGTCGTGGGGCCGGAGGTCAGGAAAAACATGCACCTCTGGCCGAGCAGATCCTGGCTGGGGACGCGGTGCGAGCAGGAGCCCGGGAAAAGCTGCGTGGTCGTGCAACCAGAGAAGAGGAGGAAGAGTATGTAGGGCCCCGGCTGAGCCGACGGATTTTGCAGCAAGCACGACAACAACAGGAGGAGCTCGAGGCAGAGCATGGCACTGGGGACAGGACCGCGGCACCACGGGAACGCACCACACGGCTAGGTGAGTGTTGAGGGGTCCCAGAAAGAAAGAGTAGGTAGTTAGAGGTCAGGTGGACAGCTAAATGGTGTCCGTCAGGGGGATAACTTGGAATCAGTAAAGGGACCCACATCACATTTGGCAAAGGGATGGGAGACGGAGCCCTGGCTAGAACCTTCCATGCCCGCTTCTAGTTTTAGACACTATTTTCTGGGCACCCCCAAAGTTGGGACAATAGAAAGTGATCGTTCGCGCCACTAAGTTTTATCATTTATCCATTGAACATATATTAATGGGATGCCTACCAACCACGAGCTTTGTACTATGCTCAGAGTTCGCCTAGTTTCGGTACAGAAATAAACAAGCTAGACATATGGCTGACTTTAAGACCTTACAATCAAGCCCAGGAGAGACAATTAAACAGACTATTAAGATCATATATTCCATGATAGAGTATCATTTTCTGTTAATAGTAGTCTTCGGGTCAGACTTCCCGGATTACATGATCTTTATGCAATAGAGACCCGAAAATAAATGAAGAGAAGGAGTGCCCTGAGAAGGAGTATTAAGAGCCAAAGAGAGAGACGAATTGAAGGGTGAAAGACGTTTCATATCTGCTCAGTAGGGAGGGAGTGTTGACCTCCAAGTTGTTTAATCCTTTTCTCAGACCTGGTCTTAAAGCGCTGTTTGACACAATTGAATTCTGGCCTGCACTTGGTGTCTAAGACATTGCACTTCTCAGTATTCTCAGCTGACTCTTCGTTTGTCCCCAGCTCTTACCATTGACTTTTCCTGCAGTCTTTAGACCTTTTCTCTTCAAATACATTTGTCTTTGGTGCTATTACCAAGTTTCATGGTTTAAAAACTATCTAGTAGGGCTCAGTGCCCGTAGCTCATTGAGTAGGGTGCTGGCCACATGCACCCAGGCTGGCGGGTTCAAGCCTGGCCCGGCCCTGCTAAACAACAGTGACAACTGCAGCCAAAAAATAGCCAGGCATTGTAGCAGGCACCTGTAGTCCCAGGTACTTGGGAGGCTGAGACAAGAGAATCACTTAAGCTGGAGAGTTTGAGGTTGCTGTGAGCTGTGACGTCACAGCACTGTAGCAAGGGCAACATAGTGAGACTCTGTCTCAAAAAAAAAAAAAAAAATCTAGTAGGGGCCAGACACTGGCTTACACCTGTAATTCCAGCACTTTGGGAGGCCAAGGCAGGTGGATTGCTCTGAGCTCACAGGTGTGAGACCAGCCTGAGCAAGAGCAGACCCCATCTCTATAAATAGCTGGGCATTGTAGCAGGCACCTATAGTCCAGTCTCGCCCGGCCCCCTGGCTGGTTTTTTTTTTTTTTTTTAGACAGAGCCTCAAGCTGTCCCCCCTGGGTAGAGTGCTATGGCTTCACTGCTCACAGCAACCTCCAACTCCTGGGCTCAAGCGAGTCTCCTGCCTCCGCCTCCCAAGTAGCTGGGACCACAGGTGCCCGCCACAACACCCAGCTATTTTTTGGTTGCAGCCATCATTGTTGTTTGGCAGGTTCGGGCTGGATTCGAACCTGCCACCTTAGGTGTACATGCCTGGTGCCTTAGCTGCTTGAGCCACAAGCACCGAGCCAGCCCTGGCTGTTTTTTAGAGTCAGGGTCTTACTTTTGCTCAGGCTGGTCTCAGACCTGTAAGGTCAGGCAGTCAGTCCACCTCACCCTCCCAGGTGCTGGGATTACAGGCGTGAGCCACCACGCCTGGCCCCAGATTCTGTATTCAACTGTCTGTTCAGCATTTCCAATTTGCAGTCTAATAGACATCTCAAACTTTTTTTTTTTTTTTTTGAGACAGCAGCCTCAAGCTGTCACCCTGGGTAGAGTACTATGGCATCACAGCTCACAGCAACCTCCCAACTCCTGGGCTCAAGCGAGTCTCCTGCCTCCACCTCCCAAGTAGCTGGGACTGCAGGCACCTGCCCCGACATTTTTTTTTATTTTTGGTTGCAGCTGTCGTCGTTTGGCGGGCCCGGGCTGGATTTGAACCTGCCAGCTCAGATGTACATGGCTGGCGCCTTAGCCACTTGAGCCACAGGCGCCAAGCCAGACATCTCAAACTTGTCCAAAACCGAAATCTTGGCCTTCTCACCGGACCCGCTTCTCCACTGTCTTCCCCATATCAGTTAGTAGCATGATACCCTTTCATTTGTTCAAGATAAAAACCTTGGGCTTTCTTCTTTCTGTCTTCATTCCACATCTTATCTGTCAGGAAATTTTAATGAGTCTTCAGAATAGATCCAAAATCAGATTCTTCACCACCTTAGAACACCATCCTTGGCTTGGGGCCTGTGGCTCAAGTGGCTAAGGCGCCAGCCACATACACCTAAGGTGGCGGGTTCAAATCCAGCCCGGGCCTGCCAAACAACAACGATGGCTGCAACCAAGAAGTAGCCAGACATTGTGGCGGACACCTGTGGTCCTAGCTACTTGGGAGGCTGAAGCAGGAGACTCACTTGAGCCCAGGAGTTGGAGGTTGCTGTGAGCGTGATGCCACAGCACTGTACCAAGGGCAATAGCTTGAGGCTCTGTCTCAAAAAAAAGAACACCATCTTGTTCAAGCTACCACCATCTCTTACCTAGGTTATTACAGTAGCCTCCTAATTAGTATCTCATACTCCTAACAGTCCACTTAACAGCTAGTGGGTTAAAGTGATACACCCTGTATGATCTGCTTCTGTTGCCAGTCTGATCTCTCCCAGTACTTCTTTCTCCTTTGTCCTCTCCACTGCATCTACATAAGCTTCATTGTTTCTTAAACATGTGAAGTTAGGGCCTTTGCTGTGGTTGTTCCTTCTACCAAAGATTCTGCCTAGGATGGTCTTTTCCCTTACATCTATAGGCTTACTTTCTTCTCAGGCCTACTCTGACCACTCGTTTTAAAACTGCAACACCAGCTCGGCCCCTGTGGCTCAAGTGGCTAAGGCGCCAGCCATGTACACCCAAGGTGGTAGGTTCGAATCCAGCCCAGGCCCGCCAAACAACAATGACGGCTGCAACCAAAAAATAGCTGGGCATTGTGGCGGGCCCCTGTGGTCCCAGCTACTTGGGAGGCAGAGGCAGGAGACTTGCTTGAGCCCAGGAGTTGGAGGTTGCTGTGAGCTGAGATGCCACGGCACTCTACCCAGGGGGACAGCTTGAGACTCTGTCTCAAAAATAAATAAATAAATAAATAAAATAAAATAAAACTGCAACACCCCCAGGGCAGTGTCTGTGGCTCAGTGAGTAGAGTGCCAGCCCCACATACTGAGGGTGGCGGGTTCGAACCTGGCTCTACCCAAACCGCAACAAAAAAATAGCTGGGCATTGTGGCAAGCGCCTATAGTCCCAGCTACTCAGGAGGCTGAGGCAAGATCATCACCTAAGCCCAGGAGTTGGAAGTTGCTGTGAGCTGTGTGACGCTACCATAGCACTCTACCAAGGGAGATAAAGTAAGACTCTGTCTCTAAAAAAAAAATTGCAACACCCCTGCCTGTCCCTACCTATCTCTATACTGCTTTCATCTGTGCTTTTATTTTTTTTCATAGTAGTTTTTTTCTTTTATCTCAGTGTAGTTATGCTTGTTTATATGTCTTCTCCAATTAGAATATAAGCTCTGTAAGGGCAAAAATTTTTGTTTCTATCATTCACTGATATACTTCTAGCCTCACATACAGTAGGCATTCAGTGTTTGCTAAATGAATGGATTAATGAATGATGTTTAGGCAGGTAAGAGTCAAACCTACAAAAGACTTAGAGGCCATGTCCAGGATTTAAAGCCTTTTTTTTTTTTGAGACAGAGTCTCAAGCTGTCACCCTGAGTAGACTGCCTTGGTGTCATAGGTCACAGCAATATCCAACTCTTGGGCTCAAGTGGTCTTCTTGCCTCAGTTTTTCTATTTTTAGTAGAGACGGGATTTTTTCTCAGGCTGTTCCCAAACTCATGAGCTCAAGCTATCTACCCACCTTGGCCTCCCAGAGTGCTAGGATTATAGGTATAAGCCACCTTGCCTGGCCTAAAGCCATCTTCTAAGAATGAAATTGGAATATTCCTAACACAAAAAAAAATGTTTAATGCTTGAAGTGATGGATACCCCAGTTACCCTGATTGGATTAATTCATACTGTGTGCCTGTACCAAAACATCACATGTACCCTGTAAAGATATATATAATTGAGCAGCACCTGTGGCTCAGCCAGTAGGGTGCTGGCCCCATATACCGAGGTTCAAACCCGGCCCCAGCCAAACTGCAACAAAAAATATAGCCGGGCATTGTGGCAGGCACCTGTAGTCCCAGCTAC